CTATAAACCGCATTTTCGTGTAATTTTTACCTCACGTCATAGACCTTTGTAAATTTTGTAAAAAATTTTTAGATTTGACGGATATCCATTTATGTCCGTATAATTCCGTAAAGTATCAGTCATATTGAAATTTCAGTTATAGATTTCGAAAGTAAAGATTTCAACCTTTAAAATCCTTTTTTAATTTTTTGTCTGCGATGATTTTTCATTGAATTATGGTGTTCTGAATATTGCCCAATTTTTAGCGTGTTTGAAAGTGTTCCCTAGATTTTGTTGAGTAGTGTAGAAAGCTAACTAATCCCAACAACACAGACCTCTAAGAGACGTCCTATGGACGTCCGTATGTCCTTTGAACGTCCTAAGGACATCCTCAGGATGTATCCCGGTTAAAATGTGTTATTAGGGATATTAACGATTGGATCCTATTTCCTCGCCTTATTTCTTTGTGTAAAAAATGTTTTGTCTAATATGTTTTTATATACAATAGATTATTTAGTCAAAAAGGCTCAATTGAAATGCAACATGATGCTCAAAATGAATCAACAATAGACATTAAACACGAACCTATAGCGGATATTCATTATAACAATCAAAGTGAATCAATAATAGATATTAAACATGAATCTACAACGGATATTCAACATAATAATCAAAGTGAATCAATAATAGACAATAAATACCAATCTACAACGGACATTGAACATAACAACCAAAGTGAATTAATAATAGACATTAAACACGAACCTACAATGGATATTCAAAGTAAATCAATAACGGATATTCAGCATGAATCTACAGCAGATATACATGATGTGATAATTCCTAGTGAACGAACACTTGTCATGAAAAATAGCAGTCAAAGAAGGTAAGATAAACACGAAATAAATGGATGCGTTCAGTAGAAAGCAACAGTTTTGCAACCGTTTTATGATTGTCTGTTAACAAGGGACGTTTTTCAATTGTCAGGAACCAATTTGATTCTTTTTGAAATATGTGTCCCAAAATTTTTTGCTAAACGCTCTTGTGTGGATAGAGCGGACTAAACTGAGTCAAAAAGTCCTCTACTATTTTGCAATTTTCGCAATAGTTCATAAGATATTAATTACTAAAAATTGCCGAATATTGGTCATTCTCAATCATTTTTTTCTCAAATACTATCAATATTATAAAAAAACTGCAAGAGACAAAAATTGTTTATTTTCTTCTCATAGAACTCTATAAGGCCGGTATTCATAATCAGATCTTATATTCAAGACCGTCTTAAGTACAGTCTTAAGAAATCACGAACCAATCAGAGGGCCGTATTAATCCATTAAGGCCCATGCCTAATACAGCCGTGATAGCACCAAACTGAATATGTGATTCATAGCATAAGTAAAAAAATTACCAGTATCTTTTCGTTTTGCAAAATTGATTGTTTAAACGATAATTGTTTAAACAAATTGTTTAAAAATACCCATTTTTTAAAAACTAAACGTGCCATTCGATTCTACGTTCGAAAATAAGAAACTTTTATTCTTGGTATTTTTCCAACCCGATGCTTTGTTTATGCAAAAAATTGTTATAAACGATTTGCATGCGCAAAATCGACTTCCGCTCATGCTCTGGGTATTGCATATTGTTTTTTGATTTTCCGGTTTTGACCACTCGTCTTTCCTCTCATTTTGAGGTGGCTTTTTTAGACTCACGATAGAAAAACACCCTAAGTTCAGTGAGAGGCGAGGGGACTTATGGACATAAGCCACCTTAAAATGAGAGGAAAGACGAATGGTCAAAACCGGAAAATCAAAATGCAATACATAGAGCATGGGCGGAAGCCGACTTCGCACATGCAAACCGTTTATAACAATTTTTTTGCATAAACAAAGCACCGGATAAAAAAAATACCAAGAATAAAAGTTTCTTGTTTTCAAACGTAGAATCGAATGGCACATTTAGTTTTTAAAAAATGAGCATTTTCAAACAATTTGTTTAAACAATTATCGCTTAAACAATCAATTTTGCAAAATGAAAAAACACGGGTAATTTTTTTTCGCTTATGCTATGAATCATGTGGTTAGTTTTCGTATTCGTGCACATTAAAGTTGCAAAACGGTAGATTTTTTGGCTCAATTTAGTCCACTCTATCTACACAAAAGCGCCTGGCAAAAAATTTCGAGATACTATACATATTTGTATATTATACAAGATGTATCTGAAATAACGTTCACTAATCATACAGCGCTATTCCTAATAAAAAACTAAGTCGAAAAGTCCTCTACTATTTTGCAATTTTCATGATAGTTAACGAGATATTATTTTAAATATATTAATTTACGAGATATTAATTTCTAAAGATTACCGAATAAACAGATAAAATCGATGTACAGCCATGTGCAAAAATATTAGGCACTTGCAATTTTCTCGTATTTTACGAAAAGTTAAATATCTCGGCGCAAAGAAATCTCGGAGAGATTTCGATCACACATTGTAAAGATAAAGCTTTAAATCTGCGTTAAAATCTTTTGTCTATGATATTTTGTTCATAAGTTATATAAAATTGGAAAATGGTATCTTTACAATGTTTTTGTCTTTCTTCGAAGCGCTACAGTTTAATAAAATATCAGCAAACAAAATTTAATATGAAAATATCTTATGTAGATTTCCTAAGCTTTAAAATGGTTTCTGAAAAAAATTTTATATGATAATTTTCCGCTTTAATTTATCTCTAATTTAGCTTTAAAATGCGTGGTCGAAATCTCTCTGAGATTTTTTCGCCAAGATATCCGGAGACACTGGTAGTGTCTCGGCGCTAAGCCAAAGCGAAGCGACACTGCCGTGGCCTCCTTTACGCGAACCGAAGAGTTGCGGCATATCGAGGTTATCGGATCTCATATAACGGCTGAATCGATCGCGTTCTATGTATGCTCAATCGATAGCCACCACACGAATTGTATAATAAAAGTGCTTTTATTTATTTTGTACGTGCCCTATGAGCGGAGATATCGCGACGCAAAGTTCCGAACTGCTACTTTTCACTTCTCAGATTTTCAGATACGTCGTCCTGGTCATTATTAT